ACCAGACAGTCCTGCTTCTCCCGTTTGAGTCTGTGCCCCTAAAGCCTCTCCCGGATCTGGAGCTCAGAGTCTGCGACTCCCTCCCGATTGAAAACGCCAACCGCGCACTCCGCACCTCAGAATTTGCCTTCAGCACTGCGCCTCCTCTGAGTGTCCGTATGCGTTACTCTTTCCTCCTAGTTGTAGGACTTCCACTCAGCCACCGTTCCTGTGGTTCTGGATGATGTCCCTTCCGTCTTTTAGTTTCACTTTTGAAATGGTTGTTCGAGGCGGCAAACTCCAGCGTTAACCTATGCCGCCATCTTGGTTCTTGTGTTGTTCTTTGTTCATAGTTTTGTTTTGTTTTTTTATTATAATCCGGCCCTCCAACGGTCTGAGGGACAGTGAACTGGCCCCCTGTTTAAAAAGTTTGAGGACCCCTGGTGTGGACAGAGATGCAAACTGGTTTCCCCCTGGCCTCAGCTGACCTGCAGATTTAAAAAAAAATAACCAACCCTAAACTAGTCTCCAGCATTTGAAATTCAGAAGATGCCATATAAAGATTTGACTTACCTGAGCCGAATTCCAGAACCACAGTTGGTGGCATTGAATAGCTACCACCTCCAATGTATTGCAGCTCACCACACTCCCCCTCCCCACCGCTCTCCCTTGATCAGGCCTAAGTGAGTCTTAAAGCCTTTTTATTGGTGTATAATATGCATACGTATCCTACCATTAAGTGTTGAATTGTCACAAACTGAAACCCCACACTTCCTCGTAATGAAAGTATTTTCTAGGTGATTTGATGTCCTTTGGGGTTACTAGTTTTATATGGGTTTGTTTTTTATTTTTAACTTATAATTATAGCTTTGTTTACTGTATGAAATAGTGTTGGGGGGAAAAACACCAATTTTTCTTTTTGCAGAAAAACCTGCCATTGCTCCGCCCGTCTTTGTGTTTCAGAAGGATAAAGGACAAAAGGTAAGGGGCTGGTATGTTCTCTCTTCACATTTGTTTTCTCCTAGAGCTCTCTCTCCCCAGGTCACATAGCAAAGGAGACTTCTGCCCTTCAAGCCTTCACATTGAGCTTGGAGGAAAAAGGTCCAGTGGCTTTAGGTTACCATGGCGAATAGTTGAGATAGGTGTGTGTGGAAAGGGTTCAGAGACCCTGCGTTAAAAAACGGTGGTAGAAAACTTTCTCCTCGTTCCTAATGATTTGATTTAGAAATACTGTACATTAGGAAAATTAGTAGGAGAAAAAAGGTAGAAGGACGGAGAGGAGTGAGAGAAGGAGGGACAAGGTGGGAGAGAAACTGGGGGGAGGAGAGGCGAGAAGGAGAGAGAGCAGTGGTGGTTACAGAGGAAAAACAGGACCTTTAAAGATTTTAGAGACATTTTTTGGCCCCAACCAACAAGGCATAAATGCATTTAGAATAATTATTAGTTGACTTGGATTGTATATTTACCACCCATCTTTGTTGGGTTGCTTCCTCTTCTTAGATTTTAAATGTCTTGGTCACATTGTTGTTGGAAATACCTTGTCTAATTCATAGTGATGAGCTGGCAGCCTGTCAAAGGACTGATTGGTACATCAGTTACATATCTACCTTTGCATGTTGTTTGTCTTGCAGTCACAGGTTTTATATCCTTACCTGATAAATCAGTATGGAAGGTTGGGATTGTGTCCAAAGTTAGTTGATGTTTTGTGGCGATGCTTCCCAAGCTGATGTGAGGACTCCCTCTAGTTGTCAAAAACATGGATGATCCCACCCCACCCAGGGCCCAGGACAACAGATAATTTAATGCCCATGGCAAGATTTCAGAGACCAAGTGTGTTCTGAAATCCATTTGTAATCTTGTTGATAAGAAGAGAATTTGAGAATTGGCTCAGGGCTGGGGATCCACAGGCCGGGTGCTTTGGCGGATCCCCAGTTCCTCGGCAAGGTGGCGGGCTCAGAGGTTGGGTCAGCTAGTCTGGTGATTTGACACTCCCAGCAGTCCAGCTACTGCTTTGTAGACTTTGTCCTTTGGTCTGAGAAGAGAGACCAGACTTTTCTTTCTGTGCAGCCCAGTTTCCTGGAAAACATTTAGGTGTTATGCCAGGAAGAAAGCTTATGTACTGAGGGGACAGGAGGGAGAGGGGCCCTAAACCCACACCCTCTTGCACTGGAGCCTTCTGTTTTGGCAGGATTTTATGTTCTAGGCTTGTTCTCACATTAAACATCCCCATTGTTAATTCTTTGCTGAAGAAAGAATAGCCAAACTTGAGGAAATGTTCTTCCCATTTTGTTTTGGCTTTCCAGGTGGTATTTTCAAGATACATCAACCTCTGCTGTCTCCTCTCCCCTGGGCCCTGACACATACATACAGCTTACTTACCTGTGTTTTTAATCATCCCTCCTTTGGAAAAGGGTCAGTCACTGAAAGTCTGATGTGTTTCCTGTAGCTTTTTAGAAATGGATGTATTTGATTTCTTTTAGATGTAGTCACTTCTGAGGTTTTTCATTAAGTCGGGGTTTTCTAGCATTTTGAGTTTTATTGCGACCATCATTTGAATCATTTTTAGCTGAAAGTGGGGGTCAGCAAACTAAGGCCTGGCACCACTGCTTATTTTTGTAAATAAAGTTTTATTGGTACACAGCCATGCCTATCCCCTTCATAGTTACTGAGGCAGATTTCACACTGTAACAACAGAGTGAAGTTATTTGGACCCAGACCCATGGCTTGCAAAATCAAAAATATTTAGTTTCTGGCCCTTTACAGAAAAATTTGCCGACCCTGAATTTAAAATGAGCACTAGGAATTAATAGTTCTTTAAACTATTGAGGACTATTTGAGGACTTTTGGACAGCTGGCAGGATGAAAAACTAAAATGTAATAAATGTTTGGCTGAATTTAAAATGCTTTTAAAATTCCTGTTTTATTACTGTTTTCACAGTTGAGGTGGTTTTTGCTTTGGTTTTTTTGGTTTAGTTAGTTTTTTTTACTTTTTTATTGAATTTATTGGGGTGACATTGGTTAATAAAATTATATAGGTTTCAGTTGTACAATTCTATAATACATCATCTGTATATTGTATTGTATATGTTCACCACGCCAAGGCAAGTCTCCTTTTATCACCATTTATCCTCTTCTACCTCCTCCCACTCCCCTTTCCTTCTGGTTCTGTTGCTTTGTAATCCAAAGGATAACTTACATGTATTGCCTTCATAAAGTTGAGGTAAATTATGTAAATGGATGACTGAACCAGAAGAGTACCTAGGAAGATGGTCATCATCAACTTAAAATATACAAATGTAGTTCTTATCACAATACTGACTCAGAGCCAGCACTAATGGGCTTCTAAAAATAACTGATCTGCAGCTTTTCAGAATTCAGCTCTCCATTTCTGTCCCAAGATCATCGAAAGGGTGTGGGAAACCTCTCTGTTTAACAGCAGAAGCTGGAGAAGCCTTTGTGACTGTCCTTTAGGGGTGCTTTCTGAGCTGTCAGGTAGATAGATAGTGGGTAAATGGACTCAGAATCTTTTCTTTCTCTATTGTTGATGACAGCACAAGAGTAAGGTGGAAAGTAAACAGTAATCAGGTAGCTTTGTTTCCCCTTAACTTCCCATTTCAAGAAAGACGGAAGGGCAGGTCTTCACGGATCATCCACAAGACTTCTTGCCAAAGTAAGAGTTTGAGAGTCTTCCAGTTTCATTCTTTCTTTCTGCCCCATTCCCTTCTCATACTGTGAAAGCAGAACTGGGAAAAGACTGTTGGGGCTGCTTTTTTCTGAGCACACTCTTATCCTCTTTCTCTTCGACGTTTTATTTTGAAATTTTCAAATGATCAGATAAGATGGAAGAACAGTACTGAAGACACAAGTATTCTTCACCTGGCTTCACTGTTAACATCTTTGTCATAAATGCTGAAAGCACTCAACTGTAATTTGCTCCCATCTGATGTTCCTCTCTAAATACTTCTGCAGGTGTTTCCTAGGAATAGTGTGTCATTCCTCTCCATGGCCCCAGTGTCATTGTCACCCATAAGAAAATAACCATTCAGAAGTCTCCTCCAATATATAATTTGTCCTAATTGTCACCAAAATGTCCCTTATAGCTATTTTTTGAGCCACTTCTTGATCCACATAGATCAAGTATTCCCATTGTCACTGTGAGGCCATTAACTTCCTTGTCAGTAAACAGTCTCTAAACCATCCAATGCGTGTGTTTCAAAGAGCCCCTTTCCCTCAACCCCGTTCAAAGGAGAGCACACCACAGGCCCAGCTATTGTTGGGATAAAAGATTTGAAATTTTAAAAACAAATAAGCTGCCAGTTAGGTGTTTTTGTTTGGTAGTAAAGCCACACAACATTTTATATCAGTTCCATTGATGGTCCATGTGTTCATAGCAAACTACAAATTGGTATTAGTGGCCTGCTGGTGGCACACGGGTCATGTTGTCAAATCCTCCTATTGTCCCAGTTAGAGAAAGCCTTCCACAGTCTGAACTCCAGTCCTAATGCACAAGAAGTGTCTTTACTGCCTTCCATGTCTCCAGGCTTCCTCAAGGTGGTGCTCTTCACAAAATGCTTGTGTTTACATGCATTTGTGTGGTTTTCTTAATGAGTTGTTTGTTTTTTAAATTTTAAGCCTCACCCAAGGATATGTTTATTGATTTGAGAGAGGGGAAAAAAGCATTGATTGGTTCCCTCTTATACTTGCCCCAACCTGGGACTGAACCTACAGTCTAAATAGGTGCCCTGACCTTAAATCTAACTGCGTTCTTTCAATGTACAGGATGACCAACTGAGCCACACTGGCCAGGGCTACATGCATTTGTGTTTTTATTTTTTTTTTGAAATCTTTATTGTTCAGATTATTACATTTGTTCCTCTTTTTTTCCCCCCATAGCTCCCCTCCACCCAGTTCCCACCCTACCCTCTGCCCTTATCCCCCCCCGCATTGTCCTCATCCATAGGTGCACAATTTTTGTCGTCTCTTCCCGCACCCCCCACACCCGTTTCCCTCCCAAGAATAGTGAGTCCATTCCCTTTCTATGTCCCTGATTCTATTATAATCACCAGTTCATTCTGTTCATCAGATTATTTATTCACTTGATTCTTAGATTCACTTGTTGATAGCTGCATATTTGTTGTTCATAATTAGTATCTTTACCTTTTTCTTCTTCTTCCTCTTCTTAAAGGATACCTTTCAGCATTTCATATAATATTGGTTTGGTGGTGGTGAACTCCTTTATCTTTTCCTTATCCGTGAAGCTCTTTATCTGACCTTCAATTCTGAATGATAGCTTTGCTGGATAAAGTAATCTTGGTTGTAGATTCTTGGCATTCATCACTTTGAATATTTTTTGCCACTCCCGCATTTGTGTTTTTAAAGCAAAAACAAAACCTTTTATTAACTGCCTTTAATAGACGCAATTTTTTTTTCTTTTTAATGTATAGAGAATTTGAATCTCATTCAGTAGGTTGTCTTATTGTATGTGATGATTAAATGTTTCTTTCAGCCCTGGCCAGTGTCGCTCAGTTGGTTGAGCATTGTTCCCTGTACCATGCACCGAAAGGTCTTTTGTTCAATTCTCGGTTAGGGCACATGCCCAGGGTGCGGGTTCCATGCATACTTGAGGCACCCAATTGATACTTCTCTCTCATATCAATGTTTCTCTCCCTCCCTCTTTCTTCCTCTCTCTCTAAAATCAATAAAACTTTGTTTTAATTTTTCTTTCAGTTAGTTTATCTTCCAACATTTGTTAATCCGAAGGGGGGTGGTATTGCAATTGCACTGGCAAGATAATGCCCATTTGGTAACAAGACAGAAAGCAGGAACAGAAATACTTATGAGCAGAAAGTCTGCTATTGCTGAAAATGCTTATAAGCAGGAACTCCAGTATTGCTGAAAATGCGGTATAGTATGTTTAGACCTAGTTTTGAAGCTTATTGTTGGTGTAACAAGTATACCCTATGTGCATGTTTTTATTTTGTTATTTTTGTCAGCCACATATAGTTTAGGATATATGATCTAGGGTCTGGATCTGATGTCTGATTTTAATAAACATGTTAAAAAAACTACAGGTCCTATCTTGGTTCTTTAGACTTTCTTGTCCAACAGAAACACTCGGACCCAAGGAGAAAAATGCTGGAACAACATTTGTATTTCTTTTTGGTCATCTTGAGTCCACCATGCTATGAGGACATTTGAACATTTATGTTTTAAAGGAGATTTTTAAAAAATATATATGAGAGTAGAAGAATTGTGAATAAACAAGAAAGCAACTAAGGTAGAAACATCAACAATCAGCTCAGTAGATACTGTATACATTTGGTTTCTACTTTTTTTTAAATATATATTATTGATTTTTTACAGAGAGGGAGAGGGATAGAGAGCTAGAAACATCGATCAGCCGCCTCCTGAACCCCCCCCACTGGGGGTGCACGCAACCAAGGTACATGCCCTTGACCAGGACCCTTGAGTCCGCAGGCCAACGCTCCATCCACTGAGCCAAACCTGTCAGGGCAGTTTCTACTTTTACAAGCTAGAACCTGCTCATAATCCTCAGTAAATTGTTTTTCCCAGATGTCATGAATTAATTGATACTAAGTTCACCTCAACTTCCTATTTGAAAGGAAGCACTGACATTTAAAAGCAGGGATTTAAAGAAAAAAAGACCAACTGGTTCTAATTAGAGAGATAGGCAGTTTCCCACAAAGCTCTGGGTTTAATTTTCTTTTGGTGGGTGTTAAATTTCTAACCATAAAGCAGCAGCCGACTAGTGGGCAAACTGACCTTGGTGCCCCAGAAAGGTTAGAGGAACAGTTTGGGAAGGTCTTTCAGTCCGTGGATCTTCCCTAGATAGGAAGGGTTGCCTTTGGTGGCTTTTTAGATGTGTGCATGAGTTAACATTGCGTTGCTATTGCTTTCCTAAGAATGTTGGAAAGTTCTCTTAAATCTTTTTTATATAGCACCTTTCATCCAAAAGGCTCACATGTTAAAAAATAGCCCCAACACCTATCTAAAGAGATCTCAGATACTTCACACCCAGAGGAAACACGGCAGCGTCAGCAGGGTGGCTGGATAGGGTAGCCTGTGGTCATTTAGATCACAAAGTAAGAGAAAGGGCTTCTTGTGGGCGATGCCATGCGGGAGGTTTGGGAATTGGAGCCCATTTATTGCAGGACACCAACTTAATACCCACTTCTCAAGAAAAGAGTCTTGGCCACAGAGCTCTCAGCCCACTGAAGCAATCCCCAGAAGCCCAAGAACCAGCTCAAAGAATGCCAGGGGTGTTGTACTTTCAAGGACAAAGACTTCTGGAGCCAGCTTTCTCTTACCCTGGCTGTTTTCCAAATAAGCCCCTGCCCAAGGTGTTTGGAATGAGCCTGGGGAAATCCCAAGCCAAAGGGCTCCCTCTTCTAGCTAAACTCCTACCCTCCCCCCAATACAAAACTGGCTTTTTGTGTCTCTGCCAGGTCCTTTAGTCACCCCACACCTGCACTCACTGAAATGAGAAAAGCTCTTCCTTCATCTCAGGTTTAAGCAGAACAAGTTGAAAGTTGATGGAAGAACTAGGGTGAGATGCAGAAGCTTTTGGCCCTGGAAGCCTATGCTTGATTGTGTGGTGTCCCTGGCCTACTTCCCCACCTTTCCTAGCAGATGGAAGTGGTGCTGAGGGCAGCTTCCCTGATCATATCTTTGAGGAGATGTGTTATTAACCTGTAATCATCCCTGTTCCCCTCTGGTAGATGCACTGTCCCCATTTTTGACACTAGGAGTGTTTTTCTTCACTCATGGCCCATAAGCAGAGTAGCTCCATGACAATCCTTGCACTTTTGAAAACAAAGGTTCAGACTTCCTGCACACCTTAAAGCTCCTTGTAAAGTCAAACAGCAGGAAGTCCACATTCATTTTACTTTGTGCCTTCTTTCTTGGCCCATCCTCCTGGGCAGGAATTGCTGAAGGTGGAGCCATCTCTAGGCCTCCAATCCCTGCCCCCATCCCCTGCCCCATGTTGCAGCCTTTATTTACATTGAAGGAAAATTGTCTTTTTTGCTCCCAGTCCTCTGCAGAGCAAAAAGACTTGTCGGATTCGGGAGTGGAGCCTCAGGGGGAGGCTGAGGCTCCCCACCATGGCCCAGGTCACCCTGAGTCAACTGGTGAGCATGCTCTAGAGTCTCCTGCCCCCGCTAGCGCTTCAGCCAGCGCTCCTGAAGCCCAGCTTCCTCCTTTTCCACGAGAACTGGCAGGGGTAAGTCCTCCTCCATTCCATGGCCCAGGGGTCCCAACCCAAACAGGCCCTTTTCCCTCTGAGTCCCTCAGATCCAGACTTTAGAATGTAAGCAGCTGATAACTGAAAAGGTGTCCAAGATCTCTCCAGCTCTCTTTAATTCCT